GCTCTCGGCCAGCTACCGTAGCGCGGAGCGCGGCGAGGTCCGCGCCGCGCCGCCAAGCTCCGACCCCGGCAGGTAAGCCAAGGAGGAACAGACTTTGTTTCAAATGCTGTCCAAGCACAGTTAAGCTATTCGTCTAGGGCCCCGCCTTTCGGGTCCAAACCGGTTTCTTTCTGGAAAAGGGAACCTTTCACTTTGCAATGAAAGGCCGTTTTCATTCGCTCGTTCGTAGGCCACAGCCGGCCCTCCTCACAACAAAACCAAACCAAAATCCCACCTAGTCGCAGCCCCTGTGGGAGGGCACCTGCCCCTCCGGCTCCCTCGGCTAGAGGCGAGGAGCGGCGTCCAGGGCAGGGAAAGCTACGCCTCGACTTCACTTTTTGCTGCAAGAGGCTGTAGTTGCTCGAATCAGATGTTTAGACAGGTAAAACAGAAGCGATAAAGAAATATACACCTCGGAATCTGTAAAGCTTCGGACTGATTTAGGCCTTGCAGACGGGGGCTATCCGTAGGGGGTTCCTGCAGGAAAACAGGGCGTAACGGCCACACTTAAAAACAAACAAACAAACAAACAAACAAACAAACAAACAAAAACCTACGCAGAACAACGACCGGCACTGCAAAGAGCCCTGCGGCACAGGCACCTCGGAGGAATGAGGGGTCAGCTCTGGAGTAGCGAGGAAGCGACTGCCTTGCGCGGTGCTTTCCGAGTAATTAAAATCCTAAACCGAGCAACTGTTAAAAGCCAGCGACACCACACACAGACGGGAGCAGAGGACAGGACAGCCAGCAGCACCTGAATGGGGCTGCCCCCGGGGAAAGCTACGTGGGAGTAGGCGTGGCGAAACAAGCACGAGCACAAGCACCTGGGAGTGTTACACCAGTTCGGTCAACCGTTTGTCTCTTTACGCTTCGGATTTCCAGTTTCGCGCTGCTTCAGGAAGAACGAGTGAGAAAGCAACACGTGTCACTTAAAAGCCCCCCAGAAAGAAAAAACCAAAACCAAAACACCCCCCCCCCCAAAAAAAAAAAAAACTGTAAAAGGTGGGACCGAGTTTGGAAAAATGCATCTGTTCCGGCTTTTGCAAGTGGAATGTGATTCTTGTTCGCGGGCTAATACACAGAGCACAATCCCTAGGGCCAGGAACGGTGAGCCAGGAGCTGTGCGCGGGCTGCCGGAGACAGGCTACAGGGGTTCTAGGACAACCACAGAGCAACAAGACATGAGAGGGGCGCAGGGCGACAGCCCTGCTTCTCGGTTTCAATGAGGAATGGTTTAAAAGTAAAACTCTTCTCCAGCTAATTTCCTCCCGCAATAAAACCAACCAAGCCGGCCCTCGTATGTACAAGACCAGTTAAACATTAGCCTTCCCCCTCAAAACACTAGGTACGAACATCCGGTAACATTCTACAATGGAAAGTGCTTTAAGAAAGAAGGATTCTGTAGTGCCAGTGACAGAACTGATCTGGTGGGGCTGGATGATGCTGTTGACGCTGACGTCAGCTACTCAGGCCAGGGCAGCTCGTTTCTCCTCGGGGGTCTCCTCCAGCAGCTGCATGATCAGTTCGTGGAGGGGTTTGCAGATCTTGGCGTAGCCCCCCCCCGTCAGGTGCAGGAAATCAAACATGTCGTGGTACGAGATGGTGCCATCCGAGTGCACGAAGCCGACGTCCGCATCCAGAAGCTGGACGTTGGGCAGTTTGGGGAGCGAGGCCTTGAGCAGGTGGTTCACCTTGGCATTCTTCTGCCGCAGGGGGTTTGGCTTCTCTCCACGAGGTAGCAGGCCCTGGCACGAGAGGGAGGCAAAAGAGAGCTTCATACGACCTTGGTGGCATAACAACGCCTGCTCTTCCTTCCAATTCAGGCTGCCTTCCCAGATTTAAGGCGCCTGCCACAAGAGGAACTCGTCCCTTGCATCAGACGTCGGCCGTTCAGACCGAATCGGGCACGCAGCGGAAGGAGCCAGACGAGCTACAAGCGCAACTGGCACAGCACCTGCCTGGGTTTTTTGTGTCCCCGGCCCCCCCCCCCAAATGTACCAGCTGTGCCCTTTGTGTAAGCTTTCAGCGGTGTACCGCATGCCGTCGCCCAGCTTCTCGACAGGAGAGGCACCGGCTAACCCGCCGGGACAAGGAAGCCGACCAGGATTTCCAGTGCCAGCTCTGACCCGGGCAGCTTTCCCCCCCCACTCACGGGATTTCTCCAACAACGTTTCTAAGCAGGAGAGCTTAGCCGTACCGCTAACGGGGGCGATTACACCCGTCTCTGGAGGGGCTGAAGGGGCGACTTCTGCAAAGCCAGGTGAACAAGGGGAGGCAGGCACAAAGGAGAAGACAGATAAGGCGACTGCCCTCCCCGGTACCCATCGGTAACTCCCAGCGTCGCAGAGGCGCGGTACAGAGAACATGGGGCTTCCTCGGAGCGGTTTGTTTTCGCAGCGCTCCAAGAGACGTACCAGTACAATAACTTTGGCCTGTGGCTGCTGGGTGTTTATCAGGCGCACGATAGCCTCGATTCCACCTGCTACTTCTTCTGCTGTGTTTTCGTGATTATTTGTTCCGACCCAAACAACGATGACCTACGAGGAGAAAAAACGTTTGCAGCTTTTTCAGGACGACTCGCAACGGGCTTGCTGCCCCTGAAGACCCTGTATAAACGTCACCCGCGACCGGCGAGCTACAGGGAAGAGGCAGGCTGAAGGCTAAACCCAGGCTGCAAGGGGTCTTCAGCTGCCGGTTATGCCCATCTCCGAACAGCCCCTTACGCGCTTCTGCTTCGGCCCTCGGTACGGGTGAAGACCTAACAGCGGGCTCGGATACGAGCAACACCGCCTCCCGGCCTGGGGTACGCACCGCGTAACAGCACCCGGGCGCGCCGTCCACCGCCTTCGGTGAAGACGCTCGCAACAGGACCGCAGCCGTAGGCGCAGACCGGGAAGCCGACCTCCACCGCGCATCCCGAGCGCCTTTGCTAGCTCTTTATCGAGTCCTTCACCGCCCCTTCCTAGAGGCCGGGAAGGCCTGCCGGGCCCGAGAGACGCACCGCAACTCCAAACTACACCTAGCGACAGTCAATCGTAGGCCCGATCGACAGTTTCGCCGCCGCTAGCAGGCGGCCTCTGTTTACTGACGCCACCTTCCGACCCGCGTGCGCAGCAGGGTGAACCCCGCGTACGGGACGCACAGCTCTGTTCCCAAAGACTCCTGCTTCAGCCCAACGCATTGCAATACCCGACGCAGGCTCGGCGCCAACGGTGGCTCAAACGAGAAGAGTTCTGTTAAGAGTAACAGCTCGCTCGGTTCTGCACCGCTCAAGCGCTGAAGCCTCAGCTCTAAGGCAGCGCAGGGCTGCCCGGTTTGGTTTTCCGCTTGTACCTTCGGCTTAATGTTCTCCAGTTCGCCATTCTTCAGTCTCCATAGAACGTGTCCCGTGGTGTCTCCACCAATCCCAAAATTCAATGCGTGAAGCGGTGAGAAGAGCTCTCGCCATATCTGCAATCAGAAATCAAATTGCTATTTCGGGGCAGCGTCCTGACCGTGAACGAAAGATACTACGCAGGCAAGCGATGTCTTCC